TTGTCTCCACCAAGACCAAAGGGTGGACACAAACTCAACTTCATCTGTTTGGGGTAGTCTTTGAATCCTTCTTATCAGCTCCTGTAGATCGTTAGGGACCATATAGGGGTTAGCCTCGTTCTTTCCAGGACAAAACACGTTAGTTGGGATGGTTTGATGGACTGGGTCTTTCATGTCACTTTTGACTCTTGGTCGCACTACAAAGGTCGCGGTGAGTTGGTAATGTCCACTTAGGTGATGTCGCCTATTGGCTGCTACAATCACATCTATTTGGGCTGCAGCTATATAATCAGTAGGACATAATACTCTGTCGAGTGCTGAACTTCCAGTAGGGCTCTCAAAGGTGTGAAGTTGTGGATGCGTGTCGAGAACTTGCGCGTGGACTAATAATTCATTCCAAAGGTCCGGGCAACTGGTATCAACCTGGTTAAAGTCTCCTCCCATATAGAGGGGAAAGTCTACTTTACTGGTCTTGACCCAGGCGATTAATTCTTTCAGCTCAACGACCTTAGTTTGTGGATGTAGATACACTGACAAAAGTCCGATAGTAGAGTATCTGTCTTGGATTACTGCGAGGACAATGCGACCTGGGATGACAACTTCTGTTCGGTCAAGTTTCCACCCAGGTGGAATTAGGGCTGCCGCACCACCCGACACTCCACCTCTTTCTGTCAACAATCCTTGGGTGTGTGCAACTTGAATGCCTGGTATGTTATGGTGCAAGACCTGATGGGTTTCAGCATGCCATCTGGTTTCTTGTAATAAGACCGGGCCTGTCCGTAGAAGTCGCTTAACTAGTCGCATTTTGGCATCCCCTGTCCTAGTTGCAAGTGTCCACCCTGATACATTCCACACATGTAATCGTTTGAGCCTAAATGGAAGATCTTGCCTGATAGCTTTTCGGTATTCGAGAATGCCTCTTCCTATTTCTTCTACTGCAAGAGAAGGTAATGTTCGGGAGTCACACATAAGCTGCTGATAGAAATTATCAGCACTCTGATGGAAAAGTGCGGCAACATGTTGCAAGGTTAGCTTCCACCATGGTGTTCGAACATGGAGTATATTGGGCAATATTGATAGGTCACGTATCTTTGATAGATATGGCGGGCATTGAGTCCCTGTTTCGAATAGGTAAGTCGTTTTGACACATCGAGTAAGCATCTTGAGCAGAGTACGGAGCAGAGGAGCAGGCAGGTTCCGCAGAATCATCATCATTCCGAGTAATAGAAATCAGTTTACTCCCTCCGTTGGGGCTTCTCCCAGTGCGAAGAGCAGCCTGCTCCACTCCTCCGTACTTGCAAAGATAAGATATTCTCTTGATGGGTCCAGTGTATGCGATTGCATGAGCTGAGTTCCAAGTTGCCTGGGCATTCGTCGCATGGACGATGACTGCGTATACCACATTGGTGACCATACTACAGGGGTGGCAACTTTGTACGCAACAAAGGACTTAGAGTCTGCAAGATCTTGAACTTGGTGATTGTCAACCACATGTATGGCGATCCATTGTGGAATGGTACCACTAACATCTCGTGCTAATACACCTATAATACTTAAGCCGCCTGTGCCATCCAGACCACCGAGTAAATGGATGACAGTGCTAGCGGTCGAGGCGTTGTGCATCAAGCACTGCGGGGCACCAAGTGTGTGCAAATAACACAAGGCACAGAAAGGGCACTGTAAAGCCGCAAATTCACTAAGATGTATATAGTGTTGTCCATTATCAATTCGAGCAAGTATCGGGTAGGTCGCAAATGTATGATAAGAAACTTGCACCACATCAGCAAATATCTTTGGCATGTTGGCATGAATGAGAAGGTCTTTACTTTGTCGATAGTCAAATGCGACCGTTCCAAAGCGAAACGGTTGATCAGGCTCATGAGAAAGCAACAGGAATAGCAGGCAAGGTCGTTGTACCCCAACATAGATAAGGGGAGGTTGCATAATTTTTGGTGCCCAAATGATAAAACCGTAGGGAAATGGGTGCTTTACACTGAGCGTTGCAATCTGGAAAACAACAAATAGTTGTTTGATAGCAGTAAGTTGTTCAGCACCAGTATATTCTTTCAACAGTTCAATATGCTTTGCTTTAATCTCTTGAGCTTCAGAATGAAATCCAAGACCATTTTTAACAGCCAAGTAAAGCATGTGCGCTGATAGGGTAACATTTTCATATGTGTTTGAGGACTCTAACACCCAATCGATCCGAGTTTGGGTCATAATATTGCTCAACTCTTTATCACCAAAGGGGGGTTTATCCTCACTGTGGGTTCCATGATACTTAGGAGGGTTGGACCCTTGTAAAAATGCGAAAACTGTCGGCTGGTGCACTACTGGGGGGCAAGCTGATTCGACGCTGTCATTAAGAGAGTAGTGCCGCCATTTTGCTTCAAAATCCACTTTGTCATCTCTGAGTTGAACTCCTCGAGCGGCTGCTTGTTCTAAAACCAGCTTCAGCAAGTCTTGGTATTTAGAAAAAACTTCTTGGATACTCGGTAGGTCCTTGTGGTACGGCTGCGCATCATTGTTTCCCTCAACCCACTGTTGTAATTGATCATCGGTACCGAGGGCCGCACTGATGAGAGATGGATGAAAACTATTTCCACAAAAGTCTCGAATCACTTTATCCGTGAGAAGGGAAGGCCCATGTCTTTCTGTCGTTAAGATATTCTCGAGTCCTGCTAATTTGCGTACTTCTTGGACCGTCAGAATTCTCATTGGCAGTACAATATTTGGGTTATGAAAGATAGGCACCAGTTGTTCGATGAGTTCATCTTTTTTGGATGTGGTCGCTTTGTCTGTTTGAAGAGTGATAAGGAAACTTTTCCATATAGGGAGAAAGTGAGCAGGGATGAAGCTTGCCCATGGCAGGTTTGGGACTCTAACTCCCTCAGCCATTTGGGTTAACAACATGAAAGACTTCCTCCCACCAAAAAAGGAATAATCCCATAGAAGTGCACTGGGCTGGTAGCCTGTCCAGGAGAGCTTCAGGATTCCACTGTTTGACAGCCCTCTTGTACGGAGTAATGGAGCCAATGGTAAGTTTTCACCATTCAAGGTCACTAATGGGCCCCATTCATCGAGAAATGTAAGTGGAACACTGGCAAGTTCCTCTGTGTCCATGTGACTTCGTAGAAATACCCTTTTTCGCTGAATGCCATAGTAGGGACTCGTGTCCCAGACCCACCGGTAGGTTGGTTGCTTCCTAGGAAGTCCAAGACAGTATAGAAACATTTGGAAGTGTTCAGACTGCTCAAGGCGCTGCATACCTTTAGGTTTGCGGTCAGTTTGTACAACTTGCATGCTTCCAGCATTCTCTGTCAAGTATCGGATCGATTCAGTTCCAAAGAGCTTCTGAAGATGCAGAATAACAAGGTAAACTATAAAGAAGAGCATGCTTCGCTGACCTGTCAGCACAAGCAATCCATTTAAGTAACCTGCATAAGTAAGATCTTGACAGGGAGATCCTGCAACAACAATCCACTTGATTGTAGGGTGCATTGCCTTGGCTTGACGAAGGATCAGAGAATCACAGGCAACTAAATCCCAGACATCTTTAACGTAGATGGTAGCAACCCCTTCAATCGTATATCCCCACTGTTGGTCTTCACGCAGCCCTATTTCAGCAGCAACAAGCCGACGTAAGACAGGATCAATTTCTGCTGCGATGAAAATAGTAGGGGGTTTACCTAGTTTTTTCTTAATGATGTGATAGACAGATCCGACTCCATCAAACATCGAGATAACACCAATGTTGGCTAGCGTTCCGTGTGCGATAATCCTAGGTAATCCTTCCGGGTCAATCTCTTCAACTATATCCTCATTCTTACCATCTTTAGGGGGTCCATGTCTGGTCGTCTTCGCCTTCTTCTTGCTCGACTTGGTTTTAGCGTTGTGCTTGCGAGAAGGGTGAGAGAGCTGCGAGGTTCGTGTTCTTTTCTGCTTCCGAGGCGATTTGAGAAAGCCTTTGACAACCTTTAATTGTCTTCTGCGATACTGCGCAACTTCACCACCTCCTGCTGCTTCAGAAAGTTGCTTTGTCATTAGAATTGCTTTGGGTGATTTGACTGGCAGTATGACAAGCCCACTGATGAGGAGCTTCCCGCTGACATGCTTGTAGTCCGCAACTCGTATACCATTGTTATGGTCGTACATACTTATCATTCCAGGCTGACTAGTATGCAGGACTATGAGCTGGCTGTCAAAGTCAAGCCTAGTGGTGGCTATGAGACACTGGATTTCATACTCTCTTTCTTGGAACATAAATTTGTGCCCAAGTGGGAGTCGTTCCTCCTCGAGTTTCGGATAAGAGCATCCTGGAGGTACTTTGATTCGAACGATGATCAAAGGGCCAAATTTGCCGCACTTCCACTTGGCTTTGGCAGCGTCTAGACATGAACAAGCTTGACACTCTGTCAATTCATCAGTATTCCAGATTGGAACTAACGAGTCACAAAGTTCATCTATACCTGTATTAGGCTTGATTGTCGCAGTGAAGGTGTCAATTGGTATTGCACTAGACCGTAAGCACGCCTGACATTGTAACACAAATCTTGAGAAAAGAAAACTACGTGTACTCTGACTAAGGTTAGCGCATACAGTTATTACTCTTTGGAACAAAGATCATAACCTTATTTGGCCGTTGTGAGAAAAGACTTTTGTGTGCAAAAGTCTTAGCGGGTTTTATGGTGAATACGTTGTGAACCAAATTTCAATTTCCGTGGAGTGACAATACATTTCCTCTTGGTTTTCCCTTATTTTGGTTTCCTCCCTCTTCTCTCAAACTGTAACGGAAAACACAACACGGAAACGGAAACTACACGTGTGAATCTTGTTGGAAGATGTGGCACATGTCAGTTTGTTTTTCGTGAAGTTTTGCCTCAGATCAGCATGGGTTTTCATTTAGCAGGGGGGTAGCAATGGTCCCGTTTGGATAGATGCTCGAACCTGGAAAACTGCTTGGTGGTGATGTTGACTCTGCACCTAGTGCAAGTGAGCCTGCATCTGACGCTGATTGTGGGGATAACAGGTGGCCTGAGTTGTTGGTAGGCGCCAATGCTGTAGCAGTGGAACATGCGGCTTCTGACGCTGAAAGAGATGTGTCATACTCACCTAGCATGGATGACGCTGTGCTTGATGGTGGCCTGGCTAAGGGTTATGACTCTGGTAAGGCCGTGGATCGGTCATGGCAGCAACTGGATGCAAAACCTTTACAACAATTTTGGGAACAAGGTTTTTGGGGTGAGATTTTTGGGAACAGTGCATCAGCTTCGGTGTCTTCGTTAACCAATGTGTTGGGCTTACACAGACCGGCCGTGGTGCAGGGAACTTCAGGTGAAGAAGTTCCAATGACAACTGATGATGCCATAGCTGCCCAGTACAAGCGGCTCAAACACGCGACCTACATGGATGTGGTTTCCAAGTGTTCCATCAAGTCGTGGCAGGAGCAGCGTGACAGTACCTGGGAGACGGCAATCCGCAGGTGGCACAGCAGTATCATGTCATGGTCTGGAGATGATGCCATCATCAGTTTGATTCAGGGCAAATCTGAGTTCAAAGCTCAATGTCAGATTGTGGTTGACATACTCTACAACAAGGCTCCCAGTACCCTTCTGAAGCGGTGCAACAGCCTGGGAAGGTTGGTGAACGACCTCCACAAACAGGGTTGTAATTTTCCTTGCACTGAAGATGAGCTGTATGGTCATTTAACACGGCAGAGGGAAGCGGGAGCACCACCATCTAGGTTGAAGTCCCTCCTGGAGGCCATCACATTTGTGCGCCATATTTTTGGGGTGACTGCACTGGAGCACTGTGTTAAAAGCAGGCGATGCATGGGGGTTGCCACTCCCAAGGAACTGGAGATCACAAAGCAAGCGCCACCGCTTAGGGTGGAGCATTTGAAAGCTTTGCATCACGTCATGGAGAATGAGGAGGACCCCTGGAATGTAGCATTTACTGGCATGGTGCTTTTCTGTGTTTATGGCAGAGCCCGTTGGGGAGATGCCCAGCATTCAACTCGCGTGGAGTGGGACATGGACTCAGAAGGCAATTTGTGTTTTGTTGAATGTGCAACAGCTGTTCATAAGACATGTCGTGCACTCAACATGAAGCATTCATTTTTGCCGTTGACTGCTCCTGGTTTGGGCATCAGTGCAAACAACTGGGCGACTTCATGGAGGCGTGCTAGGCTGGAGTTAGGCATTGAGAATTTGAGTGAGTATCCATTGATGCCTGCACCTGATGAGTTAGGGCACCCTACAATTAGGCCGCTCAGTTCCAATGAGGCTGGTGGATGGCTGAAGTTGCTACTCAGGCAGAAGGTCGATGTGTTGGGAGTGTCGGAACCTTTGCATTACACTTCACACTCATTTAAGGCCACCACACTGTCTTACCTGGCTAAGTATGGTTGCAGTTTCGAGGACCGTCTGGCACTTGGATATCATGTTGATCAGTTGCGCATGGCTTTACGGTACAGCAGGGATGGTGCTTCAAGACCGTTACGGGTTTTGGAAACATGTTTGGCTGACATACGGAGTGGCAGATTCCTGCCAGATGAGACTCGGTCTGGCCGTTTTGTGGGGGCCTTGGAGACGACGCACATTGACAAGTCTGGCAGCCGGCATGTTGAGTTAGAGGTGAAACAAGAAACAGTTCTGCCTGTTGCAGGTGTTTTTCCGGCAGGGGAAGTTGTGGAAGTTTTTTCTGACCATGCTACGACTTGCAGTGATAGCAGCAGTGGTGATGATGCAGTGGTGTTGCCAAAGAACCCTCATAGAAGTTTGGTAGTTCCTTCTGGAGCAACGGTATGGAAACACACAAAATTGAAGACAGTGCACCTGGCGCAGGAGGGCTACTTCCGGGTTCTTGCATGTGGCAGGAAGATCACCGAGAAGTATCAGCAGGGCGGAGTGGATGTGAGGTTTGACATTATAAAATGCAAACAGTGCTTCAGCAGTCCGCTTCTTCAGTCTTAGGTCCGTGATGTTTCAATGCCATAGGGTCCAAAACTGTGAAACAGGTTTTTGGATGTCAGTTGCATTTCATTTTGTGATGTGACAGTTTCAAGATCAGCTTTGAAACGATAGGCTGGTACTTGTTTCACTTTCGAAAATTTACAGGTGACATTTAGCTCAGGGTTTGACGGTACAACTCAGTGAACCGTTCAACTTGGTCCTCTTGCAGTTTGCTGTTGGTCGCATGGGGCTTAGAACAGTGGCTGTTCCAAACTTTCTCATTTCATTGTGGTTTGCTTGAACTGCATGACGTTTTGCATAGACTGTAAAAGGGTCTCATGCAAGTGCGGACCTACAACTTAGTTGTGGTAGGGCACCGATAGCCCACTGCGAAATCGGAGCAGAGGCGCTGGACAGGAAAAATTGTTAGGCAGCCTTTTGTGATCAGTTTGTGAGGGTTCAACATGTTGACATTGATGTCATGGGACAGTTGTGCAACATCGCAGTGAGACAGTGAAAGGGGCAGGCACATGGGAGGATTGGCACAATGGACCCATGGTGCATCCCTGGCATAGGGCTCATAAAGGCGAGCGCGACTAGGTCATTGGCACTCAGACACATGTTGAATTTTTTGCACAAACTTGACACTAAACAGAAGAGAAGGTTGCACTTTCGTTTATTTCATGTCAAACCGTTTTCAGCACTTTGAATAGTCCGACACTCAGACACCGCAGGCGTCATGCATGGCAACTCACAATTTTTGTCCAGGATAAGAAATTTGTTTGTGGTGCCAAACCATTTGGCGTAGTGCATGCAAGGGTTGGCATTTGCTTATTTTAGGGATTTCCGATAGCCGCGTTTGAACATGGCACTGGTGGATTCACAAGCGGCCTTTGGATTGCATTGTGACAAAATTGACAATACAGGATGGTTGCGACGTACAATGGGCAGGAATAACCTCAGGACTTTTTCTGATCTTGGGTTCGCAGTTGGAACGCCTCAGTCGCCTGCTGCTCAGACTGAATTTGAACAGTTTTGTGTTACAATCAATGGCGGCACTGACATGACGATTTCAGAAGCTGCTAGGGTAAGAAGGCTTCATTTTGAAGCCTGCACACTTATCATAGCTCACACCAAGCAACAGGTGTCACTGGATGCTACAGTTGAGGGCAGCCGCAAGTTGCCCGTTGCTGAAAAACAGTCAAGGTTGATTCAGCAGCAAGGCCGTTTGACGGGAGTAAGTATTACTGGTGAGTTGCAGCCGAGTTATGCTCTGGTGGACTTGGCGGCATCTATGTTAGAAAGCAACGCTGTCATATGGATCCCTCCATCGAAGTGCTCAAAGCGTGAGACAGAGATTCAGTTATTGGCAACAAAGGAGAAATCGCCGGTGATTGCAGTAGAACAACATACACTCAAAATAACGGCTGCTGAGGAGGCCATCAAGGTTGACCATAGCACTGAGTTACAGTTGCAGTGGGCGTTGCAAAGACGGGGCATAGCCCTGGATCAATGTGGGCTGATTGACTGGGAAACACATCAGCGTTGGTTGCAATACCTTTTGAGCCTTCTGACGAAAGCAGTGCCAGATGGGTACAGCCGCATCAGGACAGACCAATTGCTGAAAGCAGATCGTGAATTGTTTCTGGTGATGGCGCAGGACTTGCAACAGACTGGGGAGAGGTTAAGCGAGACTCCTTCTCCTATGAATGTGGCTATGCCGAGGCTCATGACCGACCCCCGCATCACGATGCACCTATTGCCTTTGCCCAACAATGCGTCCAGATCTTCCAGCACACCAGCTCCCACAGCGCCTGCTCGTCGTGATACAACTCAAGCCCCAAAGGGTAGAGGCAAAGTCAGACGAGACGGAAAGCCGTCAGCCAAAGCAAAGGCCTTGTGTCCGGCGGAGTTGAAGGATTACAAGCAGGTGGATGACCAAGGGAGACCGATATGTTGGGCATACAATTTGAAAGGCGGGTGCAAAGAACCAGTTACGGATGGCCGTTGCAAGAAGGGTGCGCATATTTGCATCAAGTGCAAGAGATCAAATCATGGCCTGGCCACTTGCCGGGCAACCTCCTGAAAAACGGTTTCACAAGAGCAGCACAGCGTGTCACTTTCAAATGGTTTTTCTTTGGATAATGGTTCAGTGGAAGGCCAGTCGCACAGGCCGCATACCGAAGGTATCATGGCAAATGATTTTAATTTGCACCAGGCCAAGAAAAAACTCAAGGCCTTGCAGGCACAACATGCAGCAGACGATACCCTCCCAGTATCACCTGAGGTGCACTTGGAGGCACGAGAGCAGTCAAACAAATTTGCAGGGAAATCGTTGTCCAACATCCTCATGGTTGAGTTGTATGCTGGTTCGGCACGGCTGTCGAAAGCATGTCAGCAGGTTGGTGTGCGTAGCGTTGCAGTAGACAAGACAACACAACGGTCGCAAGGAAGCAAGATTTTTGTTTGTGATGTTACAAATGAAGGAGATTTGAATATGCTGAAATCCTTTTTGAGTGCTGAGCGCGATAATCTTGCGTGGTTACATATAGCACCAGCATGCGGTACAGCATCACGTGCTAGGGAGAAACCCAACAGAACGCTGGAGAAGGCAGGGTACACGGTGCCAAAGCCGTGTAGGTCTGAACAGTTTCCTTTAGGCCTACCTGGCTTGGAGGGTCTTGACAAGACGCGCACAGAGGCGGCAAACCTTATTTACAAGATCACTGCAGAATTGGTCCGGGAAGTTTCAGCTTGGGATGTTGTTTGTACAATTGAGAATCCGACCAACAGCCTTTTCTGGAAGGTGCCCTATATTGTTGATTTGGTGGAAGACCTCGGTGGGTATGATGTTATTTTTGACAGCTGTTGTCATGGAGGTGCAAGGAAGAAAAGTACAAAATTCTGGTGCACTGATGTCTGGTTCAATAGCTTGGCAGCTGCATGCCCAGGCAATGGTCAGCACGTTCATAAGTCATGGACGCCTACGGTAGTGGACGGCAGAGTTCAGTATCCTACGGCTGAGGAGGCGGCCTATCCTGAACTCCTGTGCCAACGTTTAGCTGAAAGCTTTAGGGATGCTTTGTTGCGTTTGGGTGCAATTGAAGTTGAAACCATGGAGCAACAACAGCAGGTTGAACAACCATCAATGCACAGGATTCTCATGGACGCTTTGCCGCGGGGAAAGAAGTACAAACCCTTGGTGTCTGAATATGGCAGTTATACAACAGTGGTTCATTCAGATGGAGTGGACGAGAATGCGTTCCAGCTGCCAATGGGCGCTAAACTGGTACATCAACGTTTGTCCAAGAGGGGTGATATTCGGGTTGATGATGTGGTCTTGCATTCTTCTGTGCAACATTTGGATGCGGATGCTATTGTCAAAGTGTCACAGTTTGGTATCCCTAGGACTCCTGAAGATTTTTGCAGTAGGGCTGTCAAATGTGGACATCCGAGGGGCATGTCAATGCACTTGCCTGAAGTGGTAACTGATGTGCTCAGGGAGAATTTGGAGATGGAACCGGCGGAACTTGCACTGATAAGGTGCAGGCAGCTTGCAAGGTGGACGGTCAGAGCGGGGCAGTTAAAACTTGCGGAGAAAGAATTCAAAAAGTCCTTGCCTGAGCACTTGCAGGTGTTGTTAAAGGATAAGAAGTTATTGTTGCTGCAGGAGATGTTGGAGGAGTTACAATACCCTGATAAGACTTTGGTGCAGGACATAGCGTCTGGTTTCAGGCTGATGGGGTGGCAGCAAAAAACGGGTGTTTTTCCACAGTGTGTGAAACGGCCTCAGTTTTCTGTTGAGACTCTCCGGAAGTTGTCCCGGGGTTTGAACAGATCGATAGTGAGTCAACTATCTGGTGAAAATGATGATGACCCAACGGTACAGCAGACTTGGGAGAAAACTTTGGAGGAGGTTTCATTGGGTTATATCTGGCATGACGAGTCAGGGGACTTGGATCGCGTTTTTCTGGCCAAGCGTTTTGGTTTACAACAGAAGGCCGGAAAACTGAGAGTTATTGATGACTGTTCTGTAGGAGGCATCAATGGGGCCTTGGGTGTGGTTGAGAAGTACAAGGTTCACGCTATAGATGAGACTGCTGCGTTTCTTACATGGATGGTACAACAGTCGCAGGGCAAGCCACACTTTGAAGGGTTATCTGGCAGGACGTATGACATGAAGCATGCGTACAAGCAATTTGGTATTGCAGTGGACGACCGTGAACTTGTAAGGTTGGCCGCGAGGAACCCTGTTGACCACAAGGTCAGCTTGTTTGGTGTTAATAGTTTGCCTTTTGGGGCATCTGGATCGGTGGGAGGTTTTTTGAGAATCAGCCTCGCCGTTTGGTATGTGGGCCTTTTTATTTTTCGGCTGCCATGGACAGCATACTTTGATGACTACACCATTTTCAGCCGGGACTTGTTGGTGAGCAACGCTTCAAAGACAGTGGACAATTTGTTTGACTTGCTTGGTATAGAAGTAGCCCGTGAAGGGAGCAAAGCTTCGGGTTTTGCGAAGCAGTTTAAGAGTTTGGGGGTCGAGATAGACCTGAGAGATTTTTGCAAGGGCGAAGCCCGTCTGGGACACACCCGTGAGAGACGTGAAGAGATTGGTGCCGTGCTGGATGATATACTCCATTCCTTGAGTGTTACTACGAAACAGGCGGAATCACTTAGGGGCAGACTGCACTGGTTTGAGTCTTTTGCCTTTGGCCGTGTGGCCAATGGGGCGGTGAAAACTTTGGGAGACTTGTCTTTGCGAAGGACAAAGAAGGTACAACTCAGAGATCATGAAGTCAGGGATCTTCGGTTTCTTAAGGAAAGAGTTTTGCAGGCGCCTCCTTTGAAGTTGACCCCCACATCCTTGCTCGCTTGGATAGTGTTCACAGATGGAGCCTGTGAAGGCCCCGAAGGAGCTAAGAAAGGCAGTGTTGGGGGCGTGCTTGTTAGCCCTCATGGCAGGGTGCTGCAGTTCTTTGGTGGGGAGGTCCCATGTGACTTTATGGCCCAGCTCTTGCTCCGGTCTAGGAATCCAATATATGAGTTGGAGGTCATGCCGGTTCTCATAGCGGCTTTGCTGTGGGGCAATACCTGCGAATTTGCGCAGGTTTGCTGGTACTTAGACAATGAGGCTGGAAGATCGGCCTTTTTGAAGGCTTATGGGGCAACAGAGATTGCCGATGTGATGGTGAGAAACTTCACCCATCACGAGATGGAACTTCAGATCAAATCTTGGTTCGCAAGGGTGCCAAGCGCATCAAATTTAGCTGATGCCCCGTCACGTCTTGAAGACTCATACTTGAGAGATCAAGGAGCGTGCAAAGTGGCCATTGACTGGATGGCAATCAGGGAGACGTTGGCAGCTGTTTTCCAGAAATGGGGGAAGGCACGGCAGCAGACCTAGACGTCTCCCCATTGCCGGGAAAAAAGTGTGGCTGCTTTGTCCATTGATCTCAAGATGCCATCTCAGTTTGCAGTGCATTGTTTGAATTTTTTGAAGGGCAATCAATTTTTTGAAATGATTCAGTGAGAGAAGTTTGGATGGGAAAGAATTTAAGAGAAAAAGGAAATGATGAGGAAATGTTTTGTAGCGGAGGGTTCACGCGAACGTACGATATTAGCGGTCGTATAAATATATGACTGTGATATATAACCCGCGGTTCTCACATTAGGACTAAATAAATTGAATATAATTCATACACTGCATCATTTTGTGTAGTGCCGTTGGGGGGAATGGTGCTAAGTGTTGCTAAGGATAGGCAGGCGTCAAAACATGTAAAGGGAAAAACCGTGGGTACTTGATGGACCCAGCTCCACCCTACACCTACTGCTGCAAGGGCTGCTTGTCGAACATGTATACTAACATGTGTTGGGATCCAAGGCCCTCTTGATAGGAGGTACAATGCAGTATTCATGCTAGACATGTGACTACAGTGGATCGCAATGGCTTGGGCTTTGTTAGCTAAGGCAGCAATAACGGTAGCATCAAGGGTCGGGAACCATTTTCGGCTAGATTCAGCAAAAGGAGAGAGAGAGGCAAAAAGAAGTTGTGGGGACTGACTTTGAGTCTCACGTTCAAAGGATGGCTGTGTGAGGTCAATTTGCTCAGTATGGTCATCTTCCCCAGTGATATCAATGCACACATGCGTTTTGTCGTTAGCCGATAGGACAGAACTTCGTTGAAGGGCAGCCTGGATAGGGGGCAATGCTTCTCCTTGATGTAAGGAAGAGGCCTGGGACGACTTGGTCTTTGTGGGGGTTGCAATGCCAGGGGGATCTTTACCGATTTCTACGACAACAGCGTCATCAGGTAACAATGACTGTTTTTCTGGTAAAGGATCATTTCCAATAGGGGCCTTAGAGGCAGCACCTGGAGGCTGGCATTGACTTGGAAGTGTATGTACAATGGGGTCACTGCTCTCCGGTTTCGCATTGCCAGTTTGTGAGGGAGGGGAAACACCGGGTGGGGAGGACGGAGTCATAACAGGGTCAGAAAGTTCATTAGACAGTCTGTTTTTGCTTGCAAAATCACCTTTCACTTCTCCACAAGTAGATTTGAGCTCTTGTAGGCTAGTTTTCTGACTGCTAAGAGCTTCTCCTTCACATGTAGGGGGTTTCTTGATGGGGGTGGAGAGAAGTGCAGGTTGGGGAGGTAGCATCTCTTTATCTTCCTCCTCTGTTTTGCGTATGTTATTTCCGTGAAGGTCTTGATCAACAACCATATCAGTAATTGGTTGCTCACTGGTGTCAGCAGGGTGACTAGCAGGTAGGTTGGTCCATGGGATGGTTGGGCTGACAGTAGGGGGGTCAGTGCGTGCATCACTAGGTGTTAATTGCCCTTCTGGAACTTTACAAGCGCGCTGAGCACCTTTGAGATCACCTTGACTGCTTGACCGCTCTGCATTTGGGTTCGCAGTGTCATGGACGCTTGCCCCAGCGACAGCATCAGTGAGGGGGGGACTGTTTTGATAAGGGTTGACCTGTTGGGAGGGCGGAGTTGGCGGGGGAGTGGTGCCTAACGCTGCGTAAGCCAGAAGCTGGTCAATTTCTTTCTTGCTGCTGGGGGGCTGGTCAATTTCAGGCGGGGTCCTAGGCAGTTTAGCACCCTGGTCAGTTCGTTTGTCCTTCGTGAGCAGCTGGTGCTGTGTGGAGCTTGTAGAGGGCACCGCGGTAGTTTTCCCATTGGTACCGCTGTTGTCGAATGTACTAAATTTCCATGCAGCAATGGCTTCAACTTTAGTATCAGCAGTTAGCATGGCACTGAAGTCAAAGTGGGGAGGCACGAGCATGACAAGATAGCAAGCTTTGAAGGGATATATTTGTAAGGCATCGACCTTAGTGAGGTATAATGAGCTTTCGAGGCCATCAACTCGATTGATTTGACATTGCCTGCCTGTCGGTATTTCAAACATCATGATTCTGGTAAATTTGGACACTTGCTCAAACCTAAGGACGTTTTGCTTGCAGAAATCTCCTTTCGCACTATTCACTGCTTCAAAATGACTGAAATGAGTCAAAAAGATATCAAGTGTATCTTTTACAGGTATAGATTCAAGGAAGAGAATCCAAGGGTAGGTCTCTTCAGAATACGTATATGATACCTGTTGAGTCTGCAAGTCAACTGCTGAGTCCTTAAGAAGTCCGAACCGTCGCTTCTGTGAAGCATTCTGGGTGCTGACAGGGGCGATAACAGTGAGTCTGTTTTTGAAGCTTGGATTACACTTTTCACCAATTCTACGCCAATGCTCTCCTTTGGTCTCGTGCCTGGGTGGTTCACCCGGTGCACCAGTTTGCGGCAGTATGTTTCCACAATGCTCTATCGTGCAAACAATATTGTTTCCTCTTCTGTCCTTGACTGAGAAAGAACATGGGAAGTTCTGCTTAACTTCATGAGGGATCCAAAAAGTGAGCATCGTGATATTGACATTGTCTTCATTGACGATTGTTTGAAATTCAAATTTGGATGCTGAAAACGCATTAATGAGTGCAAAGCCGAGCTCTGAGTCAATGACTGCTACTTCATTTTCCAGGAGTGGGATAATGCTACTTTTAGCAATTTGAAGTGGTATGAAGGGCATACTGCCTATTGGTGCATACCTTACTTCAATTCGGTACCAGTTGCTGCCAATGGCAGTCACTTGACTAAGAACAAATTGTGTCGATTGCTGGCGTTGTCCAAAGGGCAAGTACGTTGTTGAACAATGCAATAAATTGCGGAGCACTTCGATTTCCATGCCTTCTAGTTTCAGCATTACTTGAGCTTTAGATAGGAAAAAGTACTTTATTCTAAAGGACATGAGCTCCAGCGCAAGAGCATTTCGTTCTTGATCACTTAAGTGCCGAGTGGACATAACAGTGAAAGTAGCAGCCTCCCGCAGTTTATGTATACGAGTCCAGTCAATGCCTTCTTTGATCTGAAACTGGGTATCTTGTGTTGCGTTGACTTCTTTCTGTAGTGATTCAATTGCTTCACGGATTTTTGGTTCTTTGTAAGCACGAGTTCTTTTCATATTTGATAGTAAGCGGCACGCTTCCTTTTGACTTGTCAGAATTATAGCAGCCATTTGGTGATGTACTGGTCTCACTGACTCCTGGATATTGCCCTTGTCGCAGTTCTTTGCCGACAAAATTTTTAAAGGCGATACGAGCAGGCATTATCAGCTCATCAGTTATCGTGTCAGAGATTTGCCATTCAATTACCGCCGGACTGCTTGACAGGCTATCCATTTTGACTAGATATAGTACAGTAGGATATTTTTGATATCTGAGGGTTCCAGTGAGCTGCTTAATTTCTCGAATGGCTGCAATATGCCTATGGCAAGTGTCAAAAACTTTTGCTGCTATTTCAACTGGGCCAGTGTTGGCATGACACTCATAGATAAATATAACAGTCTGTTGCATCGTCGCTAGTGTTCTCATAGCACTTTGAGCAGCTCCAAAAGAGGGAAACGCATAAGCAGTCGTCTCCTGCTTCGCTATCTGTGAATGCAGCTGATCATAGGTGGTCAGAAGTATGCCTTCAGGTGCTTTGATTTTGCTCGGAAAATGCACCATGAGAGTGGCATTCAATCCAAGTGCACCGAGTCGTTCTGCAGCAGCCTGTTGAGCCTCGATGTGTTCAGACATTATGGCTTTGTGTTCTCACAAGGAAAAGGTTGTGTGTGAGAGGTATGACAAGTTACTCGAGGTAAGAGAGGGGAGGGGGGAGTACCTGCCGCGTCTTTGGACAGATAAACCCGTAAAACTGGGAGAGAGAATTCAAACAAGGAAAGAGAGAGTAAAGAAGGTGGAGTCACTTCAGTAGGTTCGCACAGGAAGTAACTAAATCTTAACTAAAAAAAGGGGGGAAAAGGTGTCCTCAATACTAATAAGAAAGGTGAGTGGTATAGGTAACAGAGCACCTGTCACGTCTTTGGACAGATACACTGTGTAACCAGAAGAGAGAAGCTAAACTTCAAAAAAAAGGGGGCAAGCGAAACAAAAGAGAAGGAAACAGAGTACCTGTCACGTCTTTGGACAGACACACTGCGCAAACAGAAGAAAGAAGAGGTCGCAGAGGGATCGAATAAGATCAAAAGGGGAAACAGAGTACCTGCCACGTCTTTGGACAGACACACTGTGAAAAGATAGCGCGAACAAAAAACCAAGAGGGAGACAAAAGAGTCAAGAGAAACCGAATGAATCGGGTAAAATGAGGGGCCTTGGTATAGCAGTGCAGTAAAGAGAACAGTAACCTGTCACGTCTTTGGACAGACACACTGTGTGAGAGAGAAAAAAGGAAATCAGGTAAAGAGAGGGATCTTGGTATAGCAATGCAGTAAAAAGAACAGTGACCTGTCACGTCTTTGGACAGACACACTGTGTGAACTCAAATTAAGAATGGAATAAGAAAACAGTGAGCCTGTCACGTCTTAGGACAGACACCCTGTGTAAAAGCAGGTACTCAAAAAGGGGTGAATGAAAGTTGTGCGAGGTGCCTGTCGCGTCTTTGGACAGACACCCAGGCAACAAAGAAAACCACACCTTGAGATCTGAGCTCGATGCCAATCAGGTGATTAGGAATCACAAAACCAGATCTAAAGTTTACGCAATCTCTCAACCAGTTGTTCAATCTGAGGGCCAGGCGAAAACCAAAAGAGAGCAACAAAACTTAAACACAATCTCTTAAATCAAAGCTAAAAAAGGGGGGGTTCCGGCAGCACAGGAGGAATCGAGCACAGTAAGTCGCCCCAGCAACAAACTACACAACAAGTCCCTTACCCCTGGGCTAACTACGCAGTTACCAGTACTCTCCTCTGCAACAGGTGTGCTCGGCTACTGGTAACTTGAACCGAAAACTTGAGCCAAAGGCTACGGAGGGGCACTGTCTAAGTTCGAAGCGGCACTCACAACATCTTTCAGTCC